TGGAGTCAAGAACTTCACAAGAACACCGGGAACGACGCCGTCAATGGTCGCCGTCACCACCAGCTCCTGCCTCACATGATCTTCCAAGAATTTATTACTCCGTTTGGTGAAAATTCTATTTTTTTCTTGTAAATTCAAGATTGAAATAACTAACTACAGTATACCATAACATTTATTTCATTGACTGGTGATTTAAAACAAAATCCATAGAAGAAAAGCGGAATTTTCTCAGAGATAACAAAACACCATCGAATTTAGGCGAACGATGGTACGAAGCTACGATTAATCACTGCCCCGCGAACTAAACTTAACCTAACCAAACTCTTTTTCCTCGAATGTGTGTGTATGTCGGTTAGTGGCAGCAGCACCCTCTTCGACCACCAGAAAATGCACAAAAGAAAGGCACTCGGGGAATGACAGTGCTAACCGTAAACCACCACATAAGGGAAATCTAACCTTATTTTCTGAAGAGACTCCATCCTGGTGACTCGTGGTGTGTGTCGACGCCCTCACACCTCCGCCGGACAAGTTGATGGTAATTTCACACACAGCGTGTTTGACCCACGATATACCGCTGTAGGTGAAGATGGGGAGAAGGTGTGTGTGGGTGGGTGTATGGTAGCTGTGTGTACGGGCAGCGGCTGTAATTTGTGTGTGTGTTTTTATGTGTGTACGTGATCATGTGATATACCACCGTACGTGTGTGTGTGTGTGTGTGTGTTCATGCGGCGTATGTGTATTTGGTATGCAAGGTTGTGTAAGCGCCAGGACAGGTAAGAACAGGCCTTAAGAATAGCCTGGGGTAGAACACAGCCGACGGCAACAACTACACAAGGACTACCTGCTAGCCCGACTGTGTGTCCTGTGGCGAGGCTCTAGCCTAGTCAGTTCCACCACCAAACACCCACCTAATTAACCCATTTCTCATCTAAAAACAAACATTAATTCATTACTCATTAATCACAATCACTTCCTCATCTGTGTAATGTGAATTTATGACCCAAGGAATATTGAAAAATAAAACATTAATATTTAGCAAGTTGTCGCTGATTTTGTCATTACTAAACTACTCCTTTGAACAACTGTTTGAGGTTTTGAGTTTACAAGACAGAAATAAAAATAAAAACTCATTTATATCAACACAATGATGTTTGGGATTATTTTAATGTACTGTATGTGTCGTGTTTATAAAGTTAGTGGGTCGCTTAGCCGTTTTCGTTGATCAAACTTCCTTACAGAGCGATAATAATTTTACGAGTTGAAATGCGTCCCAGTGACGTATTTTTACACAACAGCGATAATTTGACTATAAATGCCTATTAGGTTAAATATAAGTTAGAGTAGGTTAAGTGTAGTGAGGTTAATGGTAGATTCAGTTAAGGATACCTTAGGTTAGCCTGTATTAGGATAGGGAGAGGTTAGGTTAGAATGTCTGGTATCTGAAGCAGTTAATAGATTCTTTTTGGTTAATGGAGATAAAAACTAACTTACGATACTTTAGTTTAAATGTAAAGTTAATGGCAGTTTAATTTACTATAATTTCAAGTTGGTGGAATAATTAATGACTGACATACTGTGTGTATTATTAAGTAAGGTAATATACAGGGTGATTCAGCAAAGACTATATTAAACTGGAGGATGAAATGTCTCTATGGTAAAATGTCAGATTCTGCATAGTTTCCATGTTACAACACATTTAAGATGTATTAATGAGAGTGAATTTGAAGTGAACCACCCATCCCCCCCCCCACCCGTAACTGCCTTTTATCTCATTCGGTCGTACACGGTCCCTGTCATAAGACATCTGTGAATAAATGATAACAAAAACCTACGGGGGTTTTACTTGAAATTCACTCTCATTAATACAACTTAAATGTATTCTAACATGGAAACTATGCAGAGTCTGACATTTTACCAGAGACATTGTGGTTTAGAATTATCCAAGGATTTCATTCTTCAATTTAATGTACTCTTTGCTGAATCACCCTGTGTTTATAATATTATTTTCAAGATAGAACGAGAAAAAATATGAAGAGAAACTTAATCTTCCTTCGATATTTCAGTCCAAGGAAATACTTTTGAAAATATACTTACTTTTGGTGAGTTAAATAAAGTTATATTTTTCCAAACAGTCAGGAGAAGTATTGAATATTATGGCATTTGTAGTTGAATAGGAAAACAAATAATTCATCTTTAGTTTTTTATTATAAAACTACTATATATTCAAAAGTATACAAAATATACATATACACTTTATACATGGTGGTGTGATTGAGGTGATGGCGTCATTAGTAATGACTAGTGGACTTAAGTATACATAATCTAGTTATACATTCTTGTATACTTTCATACAAATACACATGGATACATAATTAAGTTATGAAATCCATGTAAACATTCATAACTTTTTAAATATCATTTTATATATACATTCACTCATCAGAATCCTTCAGGTATCAACACCCACTCACGTATCTACATCATCCAAACACATGTAAACTTTAACCACCACACGTTCACAGATAAACACACATACAGACATGAGCATAAATCACCTTCACTAACACACATATGTACACACAATCCATGACAGGTAATCAGCTAAGCATAAATATATTTGTGACTTCATTATGGGCGTGACACCGAGACCTGACATCTCCGGCGCGATATTCTTAAAGGCTACTTATGATTCACTTACCTGGGCCTCCCCCGATAAAAGGAACACAACTGACATTTACCAGGGCTAACCCCCGATAAAAGGAACACAACTGATATTTACCTGGGCCTCCCCCGATAAAAGGAACACAACTGATATTTACCTGGGCCTCCCCCGATAAAAGGAACACAACTGATATTTACCTGGGCCTCCCGCGTTGTAAGGAACACATACCAAAAGAATGTTAGTTCGGTTACCCATTATGTGTTAAGTCTTGTGACGTACTTTTCATATATAATAATTACCTACAGATATATGTCAGGTGTGCCCCTGTGTATGATGGGAGGCAACCTGTGGGACATATTGTTCTATAACTGTGATAAAAGATTACAATACAACTGTCTCGTGCCGTAGAGAGACCAATGCAGGCAGAAGACAAGCGAACGTTCGTCTGGCGGAACTTCCATAACCGTGGGATCGCTGGCCATGTTACACAGCATAAGGTAAATAAATTAACCTAAGTAAGTAGATTAGCTGCAGGTGTTAAGGCTATGTTAGCAGTTGATTAAATTAATGATCAGAACAAACAAAAAAAGGTACACAAACAAACAAACAGATGAAAATACACAATAAAGAAAACGTGAATAACAAACTCAGGAACAAACAAATGTGCAATGTAAGTAAACTAAAAATGAAGAAGATGAATAATTACAGGAATTTTTTTTTTTTACATTATTCTTGAGGAGACACATGACCTCTGGAGGCTACCATGAGAGGGAGTGACGCCCCTGGAGGTTGATGCCTAGAGGTCAGTGGGTCATGACCTCTTGTGAGTCTGGGGTTCAGTTCTGACATTACCACCACTACTACTACTACAATATTTGTCACCACTGAAGAGAGCGAAGAGTTGATGGTGGTAGTTGTGGTGGTGTTGGTGATAGTGGTGGTGAAGGTGGCGAGGAAGGTGTTGGTGGTGACGAGGAAAATGTTGGTAATGGTTGTGAGGAAAGTGATATTAGTGGTGATGGTGGTGATAGTGACGAGAAAAGTGTTGGTGGTGATGAGCGAGAAAAGTGTTGGTGGTGATAGTGACGAGAAAAGTGTTGGTGGTGATAGTGATGGTAACGGTGTTGGTGACAAAAATTAACACCATCCCAAACCTCCTAATGACAGATCCGTGACAGCACATATTAGACACACTGTAATATTGGGCATTAAACTTAAACAGGGAAATGAATCTGGTAATTTAAACACACGACTAAAACAAAACAAAAAATAAACATGTGGTAGGAATAACAGGAATCGGGAATCGAGAAAAAAACCAGGAATTAGAATGAATCAGGAATCAAAACTGGAATGCACTGAAATAAAACTGAGGCAGTATTGAAGGGCAGTGTAGCAGGAAACACAATTAAGTTTTCAGCAATCACAAATTAAATTATCCAAGGGTCGTAGGTCAAATTGTCCTCATAAATGCTGAAGTAAGAACGCCCTTAATTGACTAACTTAAGCTAAAATACAAAAATATCATCCAAAATGGCGTCAATTTGACACTGAGACTCTACCTCTATTAGATACGTTCCTCGAGCATCAGTTAAGCTACAAGATTTAACATAACATTATCTGAATCTCCCAAAAAAACTGTTTATCTTCCTACATACACAAAGTTGAAAAAAATCATAAGGTTCAAATTCCCCTTGAGACTGGTGGAGGAAGGAACTGTGTTGACTAGTATGTATGAGAGGAGGCGAAGACAGTGCTATACTCCTTCGCCTTACGTCTCAATGCCTGTGTTTTTCTTCTTTACTTTCTCTTATGAGTTAGTTAGACAGGTCAAGGTGCATTGGTCCACAGGTAAGTTAATCCAGGTATAGTACAGGTAAATGAGTGAGTGATTGTTAGTTTGAGAAGACCAACTTTTTTATGACGATTTGTTAGTAAGTGTGTACTGAGTTCATTAAATCAAGGTATATAAAACAACCCTTTGAGTACGATGACTTAACCCTTACTTAACCCTTGGAATATGATGACTTAACCCTTGGATGACTTAACCCTTGGAATATGATGACTTAACCCTTGGAATATGATGACTTAACCCTTGGAATATGATGACTTAACCCTTGGAATATGATGACTTAACCCTTGGAATATGATGACTTAACCCTTGGAATATGATGACTTAACCCTTGGAATATGATGACTTAACCCTTGGAATATGATGACTTAACCCTTGGAATATGATGACTTAACCCTTGGAATATGATGACTTAACCCTTGGAATATGATGACTTAACCCTTGGAATATGACGACTTAACCCTTGGAATATGACGACTTAACCCTTGGAATATGATGACTTAACCCTTGGAATATGATGACTTAACCCTTGGAATATGATGAATTAACCTCTGAAATACAATGACTTATTTCCTTGATCAAGATAACATCGTGCTCAAGGGATTAAAGACATCTTACTCAATAGGGTCAACAGGTTGTACTCTACGGGTTAAATCAAAAGGTCAAAAGTGTTAAATAAAACCAAGAATCTGTTGTCCTTATTATCCAGTGTTGTTGTTGATGTTGCTCGAGACACGTCTACTGGTAAGGTCTTAGTCTCAACAACAAACACCTTTAATAAGTTTTATGTTGGGTTACGGAGGCGTAATAATCCGTAATGTGTTATGGTAAAACTATGAAAACAGTTCTATTATTGTTCTGCCACGGTTAAGCATCGTTCACTAAGTTGTTGGTAAAAAAAAAAGTAATCTGGGTTAGTTTTTTGCTAAATCTAATGATATGTTAATGTAGGTAATAATTATTCAAGAGAGTGAGGGGACGATAACACTCGTGTCGACTACCTCACTCAGGCACTGGAGGGCGAGCCGCTGCTGGTGGGGTCTTGTGCACCACTGTGAGCATAAGGTGGGCGAACGTTCGTCTGGTAGAACTTCCACAAGTGTGTGCCTATATAACTGTGGGCTGGAGGGAAGGCAGATGAACGCTCGTCTGGTGTAGCTTACACATGTGTGTCGGTGCTGGACAGAGAACGCCAGGCTTATATGCTGACGCTTATTTTATGGTACTGGACTTAAAGTCAACCGAGGCACTATTTTAGAGGCACTGGGAGGGTAGTGGCACGGTAAGGATGAGTGACGGGGCATCAGAGGCACTGGTAGGGTAGGCTGGGGTAGTGCATGTACTGGGGATGGGCGGAGTTGGGGTTGAAAGCACCGCCCACACTCACACTGGCCGCCCCCCACACGTCCCCCTCACCACCCTGACCACAGTAAGGCGTGGGGGGCCCGAGAGGACCTCCCTGGTACATGTTGACGTCGGCGGGGACCTGAGGGTTCACCGGGGCGCCGCTCACGCCCACGCTCAGGCTTAGGTGTTGTTGGTGTGTGGGCGTGTGAGAGTCGAGGCCTTTTAACGTCTCGCTGAGCGCCCAGATGTAGTTATGGGCGAAACGCAGTGTCTCGATTTTCGTGAGCTTGGTGTCGTCCGGCGCAGTAGGCAGAACTGTCCGCAGGCGGTCTAGTGCATTGTTCAGCATGTGCATGCGGTGTCGCTCGCGGTCGTTGGCCTTCATGCGGCGGTTGCGACGCACGCGAGCTACTTGCTGTGGGCTCCTCGTCCTGCCCCGCACCCCACCTCGACTCCCTGCTGTCTTCCTCCTCCGAGCGTCTCCCCCGTCGGGTTTCTTCTGCTCTTCCTCCTCATTCATCGAGTCTTCATCCTCTTCCTCCTCCTCGCCCATGGAGTCGTCAGTCATGTCCTCCTCCTTCAGGGGTAACATACCCATCTCCTGCAGGAGTCCTGAGAAACTGCTACCGGACTTAGTCGTCTTCGCTTGCTGGAGAATATTTGGCGACTGTTTACCAATGTTGGGGTTCTCCTTGGCGGGGGAGGAGCAAGGGGCGTTCAGTGTCACCTTGGTACTGCCATGCTGAAGCGGGTGCGAGGGCATGTGCTCTATCGCGGGCGTTTTGGAAGGCGCGGGAGAGCTGAGGAGAGGTCTCTGGGAGGCGTGGGTAGGTGAGGACGTGGCAGGAGAGCCTAGGGTGGGGCGACTTGGGGACGGTACCATCACCAACGGGCCGTGAAAGCCGCCAGTCCTAGAGGGTGAGGCGTGGGTTATGGATCCGCGGGAGTGTGTGGGTGTGGCAGGTGCTGACCTCAGTGGGGACGACATCGCTGCTGAGGAAGGCGTCGCCACCTGCTGATGACAAAAGAAAACACAGGGTGACTAATTGTTACCAGACAACATGGGTGACTAACACTATACACCGAACACTCACAAAATCTAAAAAAAAAGAAAAGAAAATTACACTGAATAAATAAAACAAGTAAACCGGTAATGAACCTCTACTTATAAAATAAACTTAACCAGAAAACATCGCTTGATTCCTTAAAAACAAATGAGACACGATGTATTTTATTTTCTTGTTTCTTATAGATAGTGTTTATAAAGAGTGTATAACCATGAAGGTTTACATCCATGTGTATAACGCATTCGTGTGTAACTAATAAATAACAAGAACTCGCTTTCAAAGACATTCTTACTACTATTACTATACCACTAATTAGCCAAACACAGTGAAGTTACTCCTCTTACACACCACTTCTATCACGCATTGAAAAGTGTTGGTATATATTTATTATCTATACTTAATTATCCTTATATATACCTTGGAAATAGAATACACACACACACACACACACATGTACAGTCACACAAACCCAAACCCAAACACACACACGTGACCTTTGCACCAACAACCACCACCACATGTTAATGTATTACACATAAATTATCTTACACTACATCTACTTACGGTGTATAATATACATACCCGTTATTTCATTTACTTCATACATCAATCATCAGTATGACAGAATATAAAAAAACCCATGATTAATTCAACAAGGAAATAAGTATCAGTCGATTCATTATAAACTGATCAGCTTTATATGAGTCATCGACACAGGAAGTTCACTAAAACACAAACTGATTAGAGAACGGACGGTGATGCTGAGTAACTAAACCAAATGTAAGTTAACTGTTTTATTGATTGGTTTACTCATACAAACATACATACGAACAAACATAAATACATACACACTGTAAATACATAAAGAGAAACACAAACTCATGCATATACCTATAAATAGCCTAAGTGTGGCCAAAAAAATGAGAAGTAATATTCATAAAATTATTTCTGGATTGGGTTTTCCACTCGATTTGATTATATAAGTAACTGTCAACTGTACGTATCTATGTTCTCTATGCAACCAGATAAAGTAGTTCCTCTTGTGATAATTTCAAAAAATAATTAAGTGATGATTTCTCTAACGTGTGGCTGACATATATACCATTTTTTCTTAATAAATTACATACTATAATAATTTTGACCACACTACGTTAGTTTTAAAAATATATATATATACGTGAAATTCGTGACTTATTTTTAGAATATTTGAACCTGAAATTCACGAATTTTCAGATTATGATTACTTGAATTATGGAATTTTTATAATGCATATACCTGAATTTCGTAAACTTGAAGAAAAAATATATTTACCTGAACTTCACGATATTGCATGTGGCGGGTAGTATCACAGGTCACGGGCACAGTACTGTTATGGCAGGACCAATAATTTCAATTGCACAAGGTAATAGTGGTTACGTTGTCCTGGCGCCAGTCACGGCTATAAAGAGAACCGGTGGTACATCCCACCTCTTCCGTGTTGTGATGTACACTGAGGGGCAGATCTTCGTATCCCAACCATACAAACATTGTCGCGTGCCTCGCCTGCCAGGGGTAAAGTTACCATGTTTGGAAACCTTAAAATATTATTTCACTCAAAGTAAAAGAAAAGATATCTTATAAAAACACGTAACATAATATATGATTAGAATTTAGTGCTTACAATCATCAAATTCATTTTAAGAAGACAAAAATTTAATTATAAAATCCTTAATTCATACCTCAGTTTGCATCTCCAGAGATCAGATCCCAGAGAAACTCCTCCCCCCAGCTTACTAGCCAATGAGAGGAGAGCAAATATACCAACACAGCGCGCTATTGGCTGATTGGCAGCTTATCCCTAATCATCGGTCGCCAACGCTACATATTTACGGGAAATATGACACAAAAAAACGCAAGTTCTTCATTATTCACTAACAATAATGAATATCTGATCACTTCTGGGGTAAAACAGAGTGAATGTTTTATGAGAGAAATGGTTGACGCGTTGAACAATATTTTCTTACATGAAGCATTTACAATTCTTATTCTTCTTTTTCGTAGTGGACAAGTGATTTAAATTGTGTGTGTGTGTGTAATAATAATAATAATAATTAACGGTTTATTGAAAGAGCTTGGCAGCCAGAAGGCTGAAAATATACAGTTACATATTTGGGGAATGGGTTACGAATTACAAATAATATACAAGTGACATAAGTGACACAAATAAGACATATAGTAACTTAGATGGGGATCAGCTCAAAATACAGTTCATTTCAACATAGTGACAGTGTAGGGAGCAGTGTTTACTGGGAGTGAATACACTGATTTATTACATGTTATTGATAATTTTTACAATGGTTGGGACTGGGCTGTTCTTATAGCGATCAGTTCGTGCACGTATGGGCTGGATGCGGTTGTGGTGTCGAACAGCAATTCTCGGACAGGGGATCTCAGGTGGTAGTAGGGGCCGGTGTCGGGGATGGTGTAGAAGCTTCTTACCAAATTTGCAGATGAGGCCGTGGTGATGGTCAGTGAGAGTCGAAAGGGTCAGTGTGTTGAGCGCTTCTTGATATGTGGAGTAGGAAAGGGAGAGAATAATCTTGCATGCCCTCTTTTGCACTTTTTCTAGGTGTTTACGTTGTGTGGCATTTAGGGAGGAAGACCAGGTGGGGGAGGCATAGGTGAGCTTGGGAAGTATGAATGTTGTGTAAACACTGAGGAGCTCGGGTGCAGGAACTCCGAGGGACTTGAGTCGGCGGAGGAGGTGGAGACGGAAACTGGAGGATTTGACAACTTCACTGACGTGTGGTTTCCAATTTAGTTTGTTGTCTATGGTGACGCCGAGGAGCTTCGTGGAATCTACAACCTGGAGTGTGTTCGGACCTAGGGTAATGGAAGGAGGTGGGACAATGTCGGAGGAGAGGTTGATGTGCATAACCATTGTCTTGGTATGGTTGATGGTGACATGGTTGTTGGTGGCCCAGTTTTGGAGACTGTTCAATAAATCCTGAAGGGCGGTATAGTTGGGAGCGGAATTGTTGACGCTGATCCCAATGGTGGAGTCGTCGACATATTTCCAGCGAGCAGGGGCTTCTCTTAGGGCATCATTGATGAGCATAAGGAAGCAGAGTGGTCCCATCTTGGTGCCTTGGGGGACGCCACAGGTGAGTGACTGAAAGGTGGAGACAGCCCCTCGGAAGCGTACAGCTTGGCGTCGGTCACTGAGGAAGTCTGTAAGCCATGGTATGAGACTTCTCCGAAGCCCGAGGTCAATAGCTTTGTTTATGATTATATTGTGGTCGACTAGGTCGAACGCTTTAGTGAAATCAATGAAGGCGACAGCTACAGACGTTTTTCGTTTCTCGAGATGGCGGTATATGTAATCGAGAAAGCTGACAAGACAGTGAGTGGTGGAGGAAGTTTTCATGTTGCCAAATTGCTGAGGGTCTACGACTCCTGCAATATCAGCATAAGCCCAGTCAAACACAAAACTTTCACAGATTAGGCTGGGTATTGGGGTGATTGCAATAGGTCGTAGCTGATTTAAGGATTGTGGGCTGGTTGACTTGGGCACTGGTGATACATAAGAGGTCTTCCAGTCAGCTGGGCATCTGGCTTGACTGAGAGAAGCATTGATGATGGAGCAGAGGGGTTTAGCAAGCTCCGGGGAGAACTCCTTGAATAGTTTCATTGGTAAGTCAATGGGGGTGGTAGAGCGTTTTAATTTTAGTTTGTCCAGGCGTTTTGCTACGTCAAATTCCTCTACTAAGTCAGTGGGAAGGGGGGCTGGTAGGTAAGCAGGGAGAGTGGTTGTGTCAAGCCGTGGGAGCGTCTGGCATATAGTAGCGAAATGGTTATTTGTTTGCTCAGCTGCGTCAACATTAGTGAGGTGGCTAAGGAAGGGGAGGGGGTGTGTCATATTGTTTAGTCCACAGAGTTCTTTAAGCTTACCATACCATTGACTGATGTTGGTCTGCTTCAGGTGTTGTAATTTGGTTGGGTAGTGGGACTTCTTTGCAGTGCGTATTTCGCGGATGACTCTGTTGCGCAGTGACCTGTAGCGGATGTGGTCATTGAGATGAAATGCTCTGTCTCTCTGTTGTATAAGTCTTTTGATCCGAGGTGTGATCCAGGGCAAGTCAGCTGGGTGAGATCTGACGGACTTCTCGGGGAAGAAGTGGTGGTGAGCTTCGGTGGTGGTGTTGGTATAATTTATCCATTTGGTTTCCACGTCATCCACGCTGAGTACTTCAGTCCAGGGATAGTGAACTATCCACTGTCCAAAGAGGCGCACTGCAGAGTCAGTAATCGGCCTGTAGGTCTTGATGTAGGGTCTCTGTACTTGAGTGGGAGTGGCAGCTGGGGACCAGAGCACTGATAAGTGTGTGCTACACCCGACAGGAGGCAGTGGTTGAGGAGGTTGGTACTGGTCCGCTAAGTCAGTTAAGATAAGGTCAAGGGTGTTTTGACCGTGTGCGTGTGTGTGTGTGTGTGTGTGTGTGTGTGTGTGTGTGTGTGTGTGTGTGTGTGTGTGTGAAATAATATAAAATTCCACGCGCACGCAACACACATATATTTCCAAAGTTTAACAGCCATTAGGGAAACAATTGATAGTTAAGATGCCTATCAACAACCTTCCCTAATTAATCAGCCACTCCCTCATTAACCCATATGGCTCTTAATAACTTACCCATTATGTTACATAAAGTTTGGGTTTCTAGTGAATTATCATACGAATTACTGTTAACTAATTAAGGAACGGAAACATGTTGAAATATTACCTGTCTCGGGTTTCATGGTAAGATGATGTGGTGTAGATGGTGTGGTGTAGATGGTGTGGTGTAGATGGTGTGGTGTAGATGGTGTGGTGTAGATGATGTGGTGTAGACGGTGTGGTGTAGACGGTGTGGTGTAGACGGTGTGGTGTAGACGGTGTGGTGTAGATGGTGTGGTGTAGATGGTGTGGTGTAG